TATTAAAAAATTATTTATTTTTTTCACTCTTCATTAAGAAATTACGTAGAGGTATTTAATATGAACTTTCATAAAAAATAAGCCTTCAATAACGATAATTATTATAATAATTGCTAAAATTGTAGTAATAATCATATTGGTTATCATAATAATAATTGTTATCACTACTATTACTCTTCTTAAATGTAAAGAATTATTGTAATACATAGAAACGTTTAAAATGGTACTTACCTCCAATGGACGATTTTCGTAGAACCACTGAAATGAGGCCGTTGGGTAAGCTTCAACAGTTGTTTCCATAATAACAACTTCACCCTCGGATACAATTTGTGGTTGAATAGGTTGAATAAATCTTGGCCCCTTTACTTTGTCTGTTTCTTGTTCTTCTTTTATTGAGACTGAACCAGAACTTCGAGCTTCTCCGACAGTATTTTGTACACGTACTTCATACTTTCCGGTATCTTTTTTCTTAACTTCTGGTATATGAAGCTCTGAAGTATTCTTATAATTTTTAATTATTTTATTACCAGATGGAACGATTTCGATATTATTTCTGTACCATTTAACTTCTGCTATAGAATCACTTTGAAATTCTACTGAAAGAACCAATGATCTACCACTCTGTGTAATCGTTGCCGGTAGAGGTCGAATTATCTTTGGTGCATAAAGTATCTCTGGTTTTGATACAATGGCCGTTTTGCGAACAAGATTGGCTCTACATTCTGCTTTTCCGAATTTATTGACAGCACGTACTCTATAAACAGCTTCATCCTCTAATGTTGGATTCATAATCATTAATTTTGCTTGTCCTGTTTCTGGCATGAACTTTATCTCAGTCTTATTTTTTTCTGGTTTAATTTCAGTCTCATTGCGATACCACTTTATTTCAGGTAACGGTTTTCCTGTGAGTACACATTCAAATATTCCGGGCTCAGTGTTTTCGATCACTACGGGCTTTATTGGATTTATAAAGTAAGGAGCAATGCCTTCTACTTCTTGTTCTGAAAATTATACTTTAATAAATTTACCATCTCCACCACGGGTACTTAAGATGTTTACATCTACACTAAGATACTGAAGTATTGTTAATCTAATATGGAGGGTAATTTATGTTCTATACTGGCCACAAACATTTTATATTTCGTTTTGATGTCTTTCATCTTTTTATTATAATAAAAGACATCATATTTTATATTGATACATCTAGTTCTTGTGCAACGATCAGTGGGTCTAGAACATAACTAAGTATGATAATGTCATCAATACTTATTTTTCAGTAATATATTAGCGTAATATATATTTTACACAAAGATACTGAATTCATTAGTCAATTTCACAAAAGTAATATATTATGCACGTAGGCTGAAAAGTAAACTTTTATCGCTCGTATGGCTAATTTATGTGCGATGGTAGCTTACCTTTTGTCCGAGTTGCGTGTAAGTTTTTTTTATACACACACTGCAAAGTTTGTATTTTACGGAACTTTAAAATCGTAAAACTTTATGAAGGGATGTGAAGTATAAAAATTAATGCTGTTTACTCTTGTAGCTCTACCAAAATACTCATTTAAATATAATGACAGCATATATAAGAATAGTCTTTTAATTTTGCTTGAATTCGTTATATCAAAAGTTATATTAACAGAATTTCTAAAATACTTGATGTTTAGAACATTATTTCAAACTAGGAAAATTGAACTTTTGTAAAAAAAAAATTATAAAAAGCGAGATTTGTTGGTTCTCTCAATTATGTTACGTTAATTTCTACGTGCTACCGTACGTAAAAAAATGATAAAATGGACTATAGTATAGTGATTTATAAATTAAGTCTAAGAAATTACCCAATACAACAAGATTTCCAGAAGATGCAGCAGAATCAACTGCAACTGGCTTCAACTTTTTAGTAAATTTGGGTGCTGTGATCTTACTTTCATCAATAATGGATATGTCTATTTGCGTTTGCATTTGTTGTTTATCTGAAATTTTATGATGCATTTCGTTATATGTTTTTAAATCTTGAACATTTTCATCAGATATCTCTTTTCTTTCAAAATGAGTTTCTTGTATACTTTCGAATGTATCCGTTATAATTTTTAAACGATCTATGGGAAGCGCTGTAACAGTGTCCTCTGGAATTTCTTTTTTTTCGACGATCATTTTTTTTTCCTTTTTATATCTGATAGACGGTGATTGAGATTCTTTTAGTGACTTTTCCGTCTTCTCTTCTTCTAAAATAAGTCCTGTAACTAGTTCCTGATGTTTATCGGTTTCAAGGTCTGCTGTTGTTTTTTCTTGAGTATCTTCGATATGTTGTTGATCGTTAGGCTGTTTCTTTCCACGCCGCCAAGACACAGTAGATTTTTCTACTTTTTCTTTCTCGATTACCTTATCTTTTTGTACATCATTTGTTTCAGTCTCCTCCTCATTTTTTTCAGGAATTTTCTTGGGAACTGGTTTCAAGGAAAATTCTTTAATTTCTTCTAATACCTTTTCTGACCTTTGAACTGGTTTTAATGCAACAGTTTCTGGAGTCAACTCATCTTGTAATTTAGCAGCATGCTTTGTGGGTTTTAAAGAGACAGACTCTTTCTCTTCAGGTTTTTCTTTTTGTCGTACGATTTTTACTTTTTTCTTGCCTCTTGTCCAAGGTAAATGTGACTCTTCCGGAGTCTGAGTTTCTTCCTTGTCTTCAGAAACTTGCTCTGCTATCAATTTTGGCTGTTTATCTACATCAATTAAGACAGTACTTTTTTTCAATATTTTATCATCAATATTTTCTGAAGGGACTTTTTCTTTCGGTTTTTGCTTTTCTCGTACCCTTAATACTGCAGATTCTTCTGGTTCCTTCTTTTCCTCTTCATTACTGAAACCTTTGGTTTTCTTGTCTAGGTCTTTTTGTACTTTCTTTTCAACTGGTTTAGGGGAACGTTCGCTTACTTCTACATTTTCTTCCAATTTTTTAATCGGCTGCAATTCTTTTGTTGTCTGAGTTTTTTGATCTTCTATCTGGACGTCTCTCTCTATTTTTAGAACACTAACTGATTCTTCTGTAGATTTTTTTTCTTTTAATGCTACCTTATCAGGTTTCTTTTTTCCCCTTATCCATGGTAAACGGGATTCTTCTTGTGGCTTTTCAACCTCTTTATCTTCTGAAATATGCCTTGTAAGTGTTTCCTGATGTGTATCAGTTTCGAGTTCTGCTGTGGTTTTTTCTTGAGTATCTTCGATATGTTGTTGATCGTTAGGCTGTTTCTTTCCTCGTCGCCAAGACACAGTCGATTTTTCTACTTTCTCTTTCTCGATTATCTTGTCTTTTTGTACATCATTTGCTTCAGTTTCCTCTTCAGTTTTTTCAGGAATTTTCTTTGGAACTGGTTTCAAGGAAAATTCTTTAATTTCTTCTAATACCTTTTCTGACCTTTGAACTGGTTTTAATGCAACAGTTTCTGGAGTCAACTCATCTTGTAATTTAGCAGCATGCTTTGTGGGTTTTAAAGAGACAGACTCTTTCTCTTCAGGTTTTTCTTTTTGTCGTACGATTTTTACTTTTTTCTTGCCTCTTGTCCAAGGTAAATGTGACTCTTCCGGAGTCTGAGTTTCTTCCTTGTCTTCAGAAACTTGCTCTGCTATCAATTTTGGCTGTTTATCTACATCAATTAAGACAGTACTTTTTTTCAATATTTTATCATCAATATTTTCTGAAGGGACTTTTTCTTTCGGTTTTTGCTTTTCTCGTACCCTTAATACTGCAGATTCTTCTGGTTCCTTCTTTTCCTCTTCATTACTGAAACCTTTGGTTTTCTTGTCTAGGTCTTTTTGTACTTTCTTTTCAACTGGTTTAGGGGAACGTTCGCTTACTTCTACATTTTCTTCCAATTTTTTAATCGGCTGCAATTCATTTGTTGTCTGAGTTTTTTGATCTTCTATCTGGACGTCTCTCTCTATTTTTAGAACACTAACTGATTCTTCTGTAGATTTTTTTTCTTTTAATGCTACCTTATCAGGTTTCTTTTTTCCCCTTATCCATGGTAAACGGGATTCTTCTTGTGGCTTTTCAACCTCTTTATCTTCTGAAATATGCCTTGTAAGTGTTTCCTGATGTGTATCAGTTTCGAGTTCTGCTGTGGTTTTTTCTTGAGTATCTTCGATATGTTGTTGATCGTTAGGCTGTTTCTTTCCTCGTCGCCAAGACACAGTCGATTTTTCTACTTTCTCTTTCTCGATTATCTTGTCTTTTTGTACATCATTTGCTTCAGTTTCCTCTTCAGTTTTTTCAGGAATTTTCTTTGGAACTGGTTTCAAGGAAAATTCTTTAATTTCTTCTAATACCTTTTCTGACCTTTGAACTGGTTTTAATGCAACAGTTTCTGGAGTCAACTCATCTTGTAGTTTAGCAGCTTTCTTTATGGGTTTCAAAGAAACTGACTCTTTACCTTCAGGTTTTTCTTTTTGCGGTACAATTTCCGGTTTTTTCTTGCCTCTAATCCAAGGTAAATGTAATTCTTCTGGAGTCTGAGTTTCTTTCTTTTCTTTGGAAACTGGCTCTGTTATTAATTTTGGCTGTTTGTCTATATCAGTAAACGCAGTACTTTTTTCCTTTACATTGTCGATAATTTCTGAAGGGACGTTTATTTTTGGTTTTTGTTTTTTACGTTGCCATGGCATAGTAGATTTTTCCGTTGTCTGTTTTTGTGTTTCTTTTTCTCCTTCAATCACCAACTTCTCAGTTTCTTTTCTATCTACTTCAGGTTCTTTCTTTTTTAATGACATTGAAGAAGTGTACTTCTTTGGCTCTTCTAAAGTTTTTACGTCTTGTGATTCTACATCTTCTTTTATTGGCTTTGTAGACAAAGTCTCAATTTCCTTAGGTAATCTCACTTTTTGTATTGATTTTTCTAATTTTGTTCTGTCTTCTTCGATTTCTTTATCCGTGATATTTTTCATAATATAACGGTCGTCTGTTTCAACATATAACATTTCTGAATGAAAGTCTTTTTTATCAGTTTTTTTATCTTGTCGCCAAGGTAATCTAGATTTTTCTGAGTGCTTTCTTTCGCTGGTGCTTTTGATTTGGGATGATGGTAGTCTTATTTCGTTTTTATGAAGAATTGAATCATTTATATCCTCTTCTGCAGGTATCTTGGAATCAACGCTATCTATTTTACTATCTATAGTTGTGATTCGTTTGGTTACGTCTTCTATTGAAATGTATGGTTGGCTATGTATTTCTTCTTCCAGTTCATTAGTTGATGTTTCAATTTGTTGAGGTTTTAACGGTCTTAATTTGACTGTTTCAATTTGTTCTTTGTAGAGTTCTTTTTTACCTGTTTCAACTTTTTTTAGGCTTATTTTTTCTTGTGTCCAAGGTTTAACTTTTCCTACATCTTTTTCATGTGGTTTTAGTTGTTGTCTTTTATCTATGTCTCCATCAAGCTTCAATATTTGAGAATCTTCGGTTTCTGTGTATATTGCAGATCCCTCCAACAGTTTATTGAAAGTAGTATTTTCGTTTTGCTTAACAGATTTAAGATCAACTTTTTCTAATTGAGGCTTCTGAAAATCTTTTTTCTCAGTTTTAACAGGCTTTAACTCAACTTCCTCCAGTACTTCTTTTACAATCGGTTTCTTTTCCGGTTTCGACGGCTTAAGAATTATTTTCTCGTCTTTCCAAGTTTTTTCCTTCTCTGATTCAGTATCAATATTCAGCTGATTGTCATCTTCAAACTCTTCATTTAGAAGTTTTTTCAGTAATAGATCGTCTGTTTTTAATTGTTTTTGCACAGGCTTCAACTCGACACATTGTAATGTTTCCTTTTGAATTTCTCGTTTTTCAGTTTTCGCAGGTCGTAATTCAACTTCTTCTAATTTCTCTTTGGGAAACTCTTTAATAATTTGAGGTGCTTTTTTTAAAACAACTTCTTCTTCGGTCCATGGTTTTACAGCATCAACTGTTGCTATCTTTTGATACAATTTTTCAGTAGAGGTATCTCGAGATCGTGGTTTAACTTTTCTCCAAGGTGTGGTTAATAAGGGCCTAGGTCTGTGATATACTCTGCCTTTTCGCCAAGGTAACAACTCATCTCCCGGTTGCAAAGGTGTACCAATTGGTAATCCTTCTTCGTCAAATTCAATGATATTTTTAGACAACCCTCTTAAAGTAGCTTCATCTACTAGAGATCCAAATTTTATTTTATCAATCGATTTACTTCCCAATTTTTCCATATCATCAGTGTCTCGAACTGTATTTTCATAGTATGCAACCTTCCTTTCTGAAAATTTATCATGTATATTTAGCTAAAACCTACAATTAATTTTTCATAAAACTATACATACATTATGAAATACTTAGGATTGACATAGATTAATAAATAAACACAACAAACCACTACATGCAGACTGTAAATAACATTGACATACATCATTTTCTAGTATGTCTTGATCAATGGTAGTACTTTTATTCACTGTGTACATAAGAAGGGTGCTATTTCCAAAAAGATTGGTTTGAAATAGTATTAATAGCACGGTATTGACTAGAAATGAACTTAAATTGAATTTTCATCGTTTAAGATTTTGACAAATTTATAAAACAATAATACATGTTAAATATCTTTACTTTCACTTTACTTACAAGTGGGGTCTTTCTGTATTTTTGCTCATCAAGTATGCAATACACTATTCTTTAAAATTTAGAAAACTGCTAAAAGTATGTAATGTGTATGTAAAAATTACATGTAAATCCTACTATTATAAAAGGTTTTGTTATTTAATTAATTTGTAAACATAACCAATATTTATCCTGATATATTACATATCCTACATAACGTAGCTATAAAATTTTTTCGAAACTGATATTAATAATGCACTTATTAATATTATTTATGATTTACAACTCTGTACAATTAATCTGAAATATTTTAATTTAATGATCAAGAGTGTAAAAGTAGTAAAAATAATGTAAAACTGAGCTATTATTATTATTAATGGTTTCATAAAATAAGTATAGGAATAATTTTATTATGACGTTTTACTTTATTTTAATTATTTTTTTCGATCGTAAATATCTTTTACTTTTATTCTCCTATAAACGCTTAACTGTTTTGAAAAAAATATAAATGTTTTGCTACTGTCATGTAGGGTTATTCAAAGGTTTGTTTATTACATTTTTGTTGACAAAAAAATTTTATTTATGTGATCATTTTTGTACACTATCCAAAAAAAATTGCATAATTTTAATTACTAATGATGTGTTGCGCTAACTCGTTATAAAAACAGGTGTTTCAAAATTTCTCAAACTAACTAGATAAAAAGCTTTCTCACATAAGTGTGAAAAATTTTGTTTTAATTGAAAACTTTTGTGATTTCAAAAGTTTTTAGTAATTTTGTCCGTAAACAATTGAGATTAAAATGTATCATTGTAAATTACGGTATTAAAAATAAAATGTATACAAAATATTTAATTGATACGATGTTGTCATTTAAATCTTGAATTTTTTTCAACTTTAACAAAAAAAAAAAAAAAAAAAAAAAAAGATCTACAATCAGTATCATTTATAAATAATGTACCATTAGAGCAGAGTAAGATATAAATACATACACATATATAACAAAGTAAAAAGATCTGGCTGAACGAGAATATGTATCACAAGAAGCGAAAACATGAAACTTAGTGGGGATTTTCTGTTGGCTTGGCATCACAACTATAGCATGCCTCAACCTGCGCTTGGCTGAGCTCACCGCCAGTCATCCGTTAGACTTTGAGGAAGCTCGAAGTTATAGAAACTCAAGAAGCGTATGCAAAAATAAATTTTCGGTACTCTTTGTTTTAAAATTATTCATTACTCAGTAACTTTGTACTAGTAAAACAATTCCAATTGAAGTTTTGTTTATCTTGAATCGAATTTTGCGTCAGGTAAAAGTGTTTTCTAATAGTTAATACGAAGTGAAGTTTTTACGTACATCAAAACTAGCCGCTTTTGATCAAACTTTGCAAGGATTATTGAAGAACTTTCTTTTGACTTGTTTCAAATTTATTTCAATTTATTTCGTATGCTTAACAAAGAAATGATAAACAAATTAATTTTGTGAATCAACTCTTGTTAACGTACGAATCAATATAGTCCTGTAACTTAAAATTTAATTTTTAGTTAAATGGTATAAAGTGTTTCGTAGGATTCAATGGCCTCGAGATGTTCGCGAAATAATTTATGAATAATAAAAATTAATTTGACTAGTTGATGTTCAATTATATTCAATTCGATTTTTCCTCATATTTTTTTAACGTTTTTAATTTATATTATAAAAAAAATTTGAGAGTTTTAGGAGTAAAACTTCATAACATGCATTATTGACAAAGCAGAGCTGAAAATATTCCTTTTTAAAAAAAGCGAGAGTTAGTTATTTTTAAATAAGCATAAAAAAGATCAATAATCCTAGTCTTGTTTGGTTAAAAGTGGCTTTTGCGTTACAGATTACAAACAAACTCATGCTTACAGAAAGCGAGACGAAGGTGGTGCATATTGTGTCATTATTGCCTTAGTGAAAAGTTACTTGTTGTGTATTAATTAAAATAGTTCATAAATGTAATCATATGTAAAATTAAAACTCATTGAATTTAACTGATTGTCACTTAAGAAGGAAGTGTAATTGGTTTTTTAATTATTGAAATTTAAAAATAATATATTAAGCAGAAGTAGTAATAAAATATTATGTGTGGAAATCATAATATGATTATATACTATACGTGTTTTGTGACTATAAAAAAGTAAATATCAAAATGTTGATTGTCATAGTGAGTGAAATTTAAATTATTATGCATCAAAAAACGTAAAATCCTAATCGTTGATTACATTTATGAAGTTAATTTTATTTATATTGTTACAATTATTTTAATTGTAGTCTAGTTGCGATGTATAAATTGTTTCGTTTTATTATGAATCTAATTTAATAACTGCGTAATTGTAAAAATAAATAGCAAAATAAATGTAGAACGTGTTTCTATTTTATACCATTGTTTTTAAATTTCCCTAAATCTAAAAATTTTGATTACACATCAGGTAAATTTAAGATTTGATTCTGATGTACATTAGTTACATGTTATTCAGGACGGGTTTCCTAGAAATCGAACACGTAGCGTTTTCAAAGTACGCTGACTCTTGCGATGGTATTTTAAGATTTCTGAATCATCGTACAGCAGCTACAGCTAAAATAGAATTTATAAACTCAGCTCTTCCTTTTTTTAATTGGATGATTTCATAAAAGTATCTTGAGTGAATTTAGTTTTTTTATTCAACAATGAGTCATGAATGTCTTTACATGCAGGTTACATTTTCATAGGGTCAAACGATGAGTTATGTATGTTGTACGAATTCGTTAAAACTAAGTCCATCTTCTTTGTAATTTACACATTTACTGGACACCTTGTACATGTTTTTTAATTAAAATAACAATTGATAATTTTCTAGTTTATGTTCATAAATACAGCACGTTATTTATAAAATACTTGCATTAAAAATTATTCGTTTGCAAATATTTTTTGTTCATAAAACTGAATAACATGCCAGAGGTCCAACATGTGTGGTTATCAATCAAGGAAATCAAATTCAATATACGGTTCTAAAGATTGAGTGAGCTAGCCGTTTTAACCCAAATAGCAAGAAAGTGGAAGTAGGAATCGAGGAGTAAACCTTGTTATACTAATTTTATAATTTTTTGGAGTAGAATTACTGAAGAAAAGTTTGCTTATTCTCCGAGTCTGCAGGGCTCTAATAAAGCTTACTAAATATAAGCCAGGTAATGTAATACACGTCACGTGAGCCGAAATAGCTTAAAAAGCATAGCATTGCACACGGCACTGCGGCAGAAACAGTAGCAGAAACCGCTGGGAATAGGGAAATAACTCTTACATTATAGCATACGAGTTGCCACGACTTCAAGTGGTGTATATTGCAGAGGAAGCGAGGAAGAGAGAGAGGAAGAAACGAGGGAACGCTGAAATTTAAAATTGAGATCGTACTTTTACTCAGCAAGATTCTAACATTTCTTTGTAGTATGCTGTTGCCGTTCGTTTTTTTGGCACTTGCGAATACGCTACATGATTCAATGGAAATCGCCGAGAATACGCTTGTACGTAAAGAAAAATACTTCGAGGCACATTAATGGGCGTGTGATATTTATTTTTATGCACACATAATCAAATGATTGTATATTACAAATGTTTTCTTGAGCGTTACTAATTTAATAACAACACTGTTCTTCACGCTCCGGTGAATAATAGTGTTGAAAGCGTGCCACGTAAAATAAAAAGTTTTACAATAAACTACGTTTCGACGATGAAAATAACGTAGTAAGCTTCATAAATCCTTATTAAATTGGAGTTTTAAAATAGATAAATATTATGTAAAAAAGATTGTTAAGGTTGTTCGAAATATTCTTTTCATAATTCGTTTTAAGTTTGTGAAAGTGCTAAGATTTAATTTAAAGTATTTCGTTTTGAAGAAACCTATGTTGTTCCTCTTTCATTAATTTAACAAAGAAAATTTAATGGGTTTCTTAATCCTAGTTATGCATGATTAAAGTAAGAACTGTAAACACACACTTTTTCCATGAACAAATAATAATTTCATGTTTCATACATTTTTATTAACTTTTTATAATACAATAAATAATTTATTAGATGTTAGAAATTATAAATATTTATATAAATTCTTTTCGGCGTATACATAGAATGAACAAAAACATCTTTTGTATGCGAATTCGACAAAAAATAACAATGTTTCTTAACAACTATATAAATATGTATATTAAATTTTCAGTGTCTACTGTTAACCTTGAAAAATTTTATCTGATCATCATTTATAAAAATACATGATATATAAACAAATGTTGTCAGCAAATAAACTATTTTGCTTGGTATGGCTTATTTTATGTTATTCAATGTATTTTTTAGCACCACCTACGCCTTATTACACTTTTTTTTCAAGATTATTTTTGTTAGTAAGAAACTACCCGGCTCATAGATGTCAAAAATTGTAAAAACGGTAATTTTGTTAAGAAAGCAGAAATATCATTGGCAGTGCGACGATAAAATTTTGAATTATCATTTATCCCTTTGGATCAGAAAATTAAAATTGAAAATTCTTCGTCGCTTTATCAAAGGGATAACAGTCAACATCATGATTTATAACAGTTTAAAATTTAAATTAATTCTTACTTTTAACGATGAGTTTTGCGGATGATTCAACTGTTCCTGCTGTTGTTGTTGCACGACATGTAAATGTACCAGTGTCTTCTTCATAGGTGGTTGCAATTAAAAGTACAGCATTATTTCCTTCATGAATCATCTATAACACAAAGAATTTTTTTTCGGTAAAAAATTTTTTTGTATCAACTGTATACCGTTGCTTTTTTATCATTTTCTTGTGATAGTCTAAAATTTAAAATAACTATTGCATGGATATTTCAGGAGCATTTTGATATTTTCGAAATCTTTTTAATCATTAATTTGTGTCAGTGCATTGGTACATGGATACATACAAATAATCCAAAAAATATTGATAATGTGGTTGACAGTTTTAGTAATTATGCTTGAATTTTTCTGTGATCTATGTATTTAAGAAAGATAGAAACAAAATATTACATGTCTACTCAAACTTATAATAACTACGTAGAAGAATTACTTTTTTGTAGAATGAGTTTTTTTGTCGGCTAAAAATAAAGTTTCTTTACTAAAGTTTCAGAAGCATGTACTATGATGCAAGACCTTGAAATTCATTATTCAGAAAAGTGCAGTAATTGTCAACAATTTTTCTCTTATACGTTTTACGTTGTAAATTTTCCTTCAATTTTATAGCGGAGTACACTGTATCCCATTAAATAATTCCACAAAGCTTTGTTTTATTCTATGATGACAATAATCTTATGTATGAACCATCTCAAGCGGATTATCGTGATTTTTCATTACGCACAGAAATGTTTCTAAAAAATATTGTATACTAATTTTATCACTAAAAATAATATATCAAAATCTTAGAAAGCTTAGCTTGATTGTTATTGAGAAATCAAGTTAAAAGATTTATAATTTTCATGAGCTCTTATGAAGAGGCCGTTGTGAATTAATTGCCAGAGACAAATTTTCACTCCATACTCGGTTAATTTCTTACAGAACCGCATAAAAAACGAATCTATTTAACATCACTGTGGTTAAAACTGTCTGTTAAAATTCAAACAAACTTAGCTTCGTTATTTCTTAGACTCATTTTCTCAAATTTTTTGCGTAATATTATTCGTGTATATGAACAGTGGCAAGGTCAATGCAAAAGTCAATATTGAGTGGTAATTTTTTCATTTGTAATTTTTTCTCAGTTTTAAAGTACTTTCAACTTACGACGTATGTACATAAAATTAATTTAGTACTTTATCCATCGAATTGTCCCTCAATTTGGGTGTACAAAAGTCTTCTCAAAAACTATAAATATGTGGTTGTCATTTTGACTTAGGACTAAATTGATGAAAAATGACCCAACTCTACACTAGGATTTAATGACGAGAACGCAATTTATAACTTTATCTTATGTTAGGACCCAACTAGCCATCAGCTCTTAATTAATGGAGCAATCAATAGTTTTTTTGAGATTTTTAGTTTAAGTTCTTTATTTTGGTTTCTTTTGTAATTTTTAAGGTAGTCATAGTCACCTTTAAGGTAAACTCGGAAAAAAAGCACATCAATACTTGTACTTCAGTATTATCAGCTAATTGTACCTCAGACAGCTATTTTTTCATAATTTAAATATAATTACTATTTACCGTTTATGTATTCAACTATACTACCAATAATAATTTTAATGTATGAATTTTAAGAAACCTTCATACTAATTGAAAAACATTGTATTTTTAAAGCAATACACCCAAAGCCTTAAATTTTATTAAAAATTAAAAATTTTGCGACATTACACAGTTTGAGAAATGTCTCAGAATTTCTTAGGGCCAATTTATTTAAAATTCTCTGAGTACTGGTAAGTTAAATATGATTACTTAAAAAGTGGCTGACAGGTACGGCCCTTGTAAGTGAAACTTTTTGTTTTTATTACATTGTTTATTTTTAATACGATTTTTTGTTTAATTTAATATTATAGTGTTGGCAAATTATTCATCCAAAATTTTACTTATATTGTATTAATAATAGAATAATCATATTAACGTTCATCTAATTTCAAGTTGGGTTTAATAATTGAATTCATCTGAGCCTTCTGCATTTTTACAAATCATCTCAGACTTACTTATTTTAGATGTAGACCATACGATATACTAATTTTTTAAGATAGCTTAAATTTTACCTGGAAATCTGGTGATTCAGGGATAAGAGCACTTTCGCGGTACCATTGGATTGTCGGTTTAGGCTTTGTAGGCGTAACTTGTGTTTTGAATTGCGCAGGTTGACCCTCCAAAACAATTTGGTCTTTAAGTGGAGTCAACTTTGGTAGTATATCAGCTGCATCAGGAGCTAAAAATAATTCCAATATTGATTTGTTTTACGTCATCAATACGTTTGTATACAAATGATGTGATCACTAACTCATTACTACTCGCTTACCAAGTACTTTTAAATTGGCAGTTGTTGTTACTTCACCAGCTGCATTTTTAGCCACACATTTATAAACACCTTCATCTTCTGGGAACGCTTCAGAAATTCTCAGAGTACAAAGATCTGCTTCTTTTAGCATTTGGAAATACTTTGAAGGTTTTATGATCTGTAAATCAAAAAATCATCGATTTTTTATTCGTGTATATACTTTTCGTTGTTTTAAATTTTACATAAAAATACGTGTATGCGTGTACTTATGTGCGTGTGTATAAATATCTTATGTTTTAAGCAATATTTCGATGTATTAACTAAAAAGACTTTAATTTTTTGAAACTATTAACATACTTTTCGTAAAAAATATGTAAGCATCAATTACTGGATATTCAAAAATCAAGTCATTGCAAGTCTGCAAGTCAAAAATGTTTAAAAAATTTTTTGAACTTTTGTTACTGATACCTTATCTCCTTTTTTCCATTGAATAGTTGGAATTGGCTTTCCAACAATTCTACAAGAAAATGCAACCGATGTTCCCTCTTTTATAGTTTGATCTTTTATAGGTTGTAAAATCATTGGTGCTTTCTCGGCATCAGTTGGTAACTGTTTTGTAGCTTTAGCTGATGATTGTGGCTGACGAACATTCAATTCAGCTTCACAACGAGCTTCCCCTGCGCTGTTTATAGCTACACATTCGTACCTTCCTGTATCTTCTGAAACACTTTCTAATATGAGAAGAGTATAAGTATTATCTTCTTCTAAAGTCTTGTAACGAATGTCTGGACTAATTTTTTTTCCACCCTGTAAAGTAATTTAAATGAAATAAGATAATTTCTTTTATCTCTTAAACATTAGTAAATCATTAAAACATTTTATCTTACCTTCAACCAATATACGTCAATGGGCTTAGTGCCAGTGACTTTAGTATCAAATCGAGCTAGTTGGCCACTGTTTACAGATGCATTTTGAGCAGTTGTAATGAAACTAGGCGGTACAACTCCTCCTCTTCCTGGTTGTCTACGTCTTTCTTCAACAACAAGATTAGCACTACATTTAGCTTTTCCACCTCTGTTTTCAGCAATCACTGAAAAGACGCCTGAATCTTCCATAAACACTTGACGTATGACTAATATAGATTTTGTGCTGAAGGTATGAATTTGTAGATCAGTAGAATTTGTTATTGGAAAGTCCTCACGATACCACTTGATAGTTGGTAATGGATCACCATCAAATTCAACTTCAAATTTAGCTTGTTCTTGTTCAAACGATCGGCATGGTTGAATTTTTTTAGTAAATACAGGTGGAACTGACGGTTTCACTTGTCCTTGAACTATGCGCTCTTGTGTTTTAGCTTTATGTTCTACCTCTGTTGTTTCAGTTGCTGTTATTTTCCTAGTTATTTCTACATCATCCCTCACTTCTTTTTGAGTTTGTTTTTGTTTAGAAACGTGAACCTCCCGACCATGGATAGTTGACTCGGAAGGATCTGGAGGATATTTTCCGACTTGTTGAGAATCAATGTCTACCTCGGTCGTAAATTTTTTAACATTTTTCGTGGGCGTTTCAGCTGATTTTTGAGTTTGTATTTCCCTGTAAAATAATATATACATATATATATATATATATAAATGAAAAAAAAAACAGAAAATTTATCACTGTCACGGCACTCATAGCCATTTGCAAACATACAAAGTTTCTTGATATTTTTGAGCCATTCCCTTGGCAACCGAATTATTGACAATTTTATCCCCTGGTATAGCAAACTGATGAGATGCTTCTCTAAGTCTCGACTCTTTGAGTAACTGATCTTCTTCTAGACTTGTTATTTTATGATAATAATCTTCCTTTTTCTTTGATTTAACTGATTTTTGCCATTCCGTTTCTGGTTCTTTATGAATCTTTTGTCCAAGAAGCTCTGTAGCGATCAAAGTATTTTGACTGATATTTTGCCTTCGTTCGTCGAAAACTCTTTCTACTTCCGTTTCTTCTTTTTCTGTTCGTTGCTGAGTAAAATCAGAATCGTACCAAGCTGTACAAAAAATCTTAACTTTATTTTCAGATAAAAAAACATGTTTAAAATTCATAATACCTTTGACGATCCAATTAAATCTTACCCAATGAAACATGCTAGGTTGGTCACGGAAAAAGTTAGGAAATAAATTAAGTAAAATGAATTTTTTCTTAATCCAGATAGTAAGTCAGGTATCATCAACCACAATATTAACATGTTATTCATTAGGGTACAAAAACACATGGGTCCATTCATAATGCACAAAAACATATTGATTTTTAGTTAAAAGTACGAAAATTTCAAACCTCTTATCTTTAACGTAGGAAAATATAGGTAGGTTGGAATTGGTTTCCTATTGAAAATTAGTGTGTATAGTATGCGTCCAATCAGTAGACAACCTTCAGTTTGGGAAGTTTGTATATATTAACAGTGGAATAGTCAGTATTGAAGTTAGATTGTGGTACAAAATGTATATTTTTTTATATTATAGGGTACGCACGTTATGTTGAAGTGGTGCAATAGTAATTTTCGTCACACTAGCGCCATCGCCATCACGGCTATTTTGCAGACCGATGAACCCGTGAAGCAGGGTCCGAGGGTCCGTAGAATAGCCCTAATTGGGTGACGCTTATGTGCCAAACACAATTTTTCCTACCGAGAACGCAGTGAACGTCCAAATGTCACTAAAAACGCTTCAAGGTAGGAAAAATATTATTTTCATTCTTAAAAATATTATTGAACACAAATATTTTTGAAAATAAAAGGGCCCAAGGGTTCAAAACTTAAAAAAAAACATAAAGTGTATAGAGTAACAGTTTTGGAATTCAAAATTTTTCAAAACATGAGAATCTTTCATGGGCAACAAAATCATACCTGCTTATTATCCTTTATGTTGGATTTTTCGTTTACCAACGAAAATTCAATCAGTCGACCGTGCGTTTGTCTTCTGTCAGAGACTCATAGTCGAAGTTCTTTTTCTTGATTGCTTAAATATTGCTGCCACATTTACGGTAGGAAAAAAGGAATGGAATGGGATGTAAGACTAGGATTAAAACGATATTGTTGGAAAATTTTCAGTATTTTTGTGAATAATTTTCAATGTGCACAAAGAATGTTGTCATGTAAAATGTTGGATCGTACACTCAAGTTGAAAGAAATTTTTGATTTGTATGTTTTGCGTTTACACTAAAAGTTTTGTCATATACTATATGCTTACTTGCCATAGGAAACGATATAAAATTGTTTTAAACAAAAAATGCATTCAATGATAAAATTTAGTGATTTTTATCTCATTAATAGTATTTTTTAATCTCAAAAGTTTTGATAGACTTTGAAATAAATTGAAATGATAAAAAAAGTTCCAACAAATAAATATCGTTTCCAAAATCATTACTTAAAAAATATCTGCACTTACGTCGAGGTGATGATTTCAAAACTCCGCGATAATCACCACTACGAGGTGTCACAGTTAGGGTTGTTTCTGTCCGAGCTTCACCAACAGAACTTCTTGCAACTACCTCAATTTTGCCATTATCGTATTGCCTTGTCTTAGGTATATCCATATGATACATGCCGTCGTAAGTAAGTTTATAACGAGAACCCTATTGGCATAAAGGTATTGTTTTATGAATAGTCAACTTTCCCATGAAATAACAATATTTGTGTGTATTTAACAGTGAATTTACTTACACTCACGACAGTATGACCGTTTATGAGCCACATTACTCGAGGTCTTGGGTAACCTGTGACTCTGCAGCAAAATCTGGAATAATCTCCTTCTTCGACAGTGACTGGTTCGGGTTTGCTGACAAACGTAGGGGGTGCTCGAACTTTTTCAACCTCGGTTTCTTCTTCAGGAACTCTGAGAAATAAAAAAAAAAAAAAAATTACGTACACGATCATGAAAAGTTTTAAGCTTATAACTTTACGGTGTTTGAACTTACACTTGCCACGCAGCTTCCATCTCTCGAATCTTTTCAATACTCTTCATACCCTTAGGCAATTGGGATTCGTATATTATTCCTGGTTTTCCAGTTGTTCGTATTACGGCTTTTGTTTCATCCATACCATAAAGATTTGTAGCTCTGCATAAATATTCCCCACTATCTTCAGGGTATACCCACCCAAAGTTCATAGCCACATAACCAAAATCATAAATAGGGGTAAATCTGTTTTTATGAGGTAACGGTTTCCCGTTCAAAAACCATTCAACTTTCATATTTGGATCACCAACTGGTGCTAACTGGCATTCGAATTTTGTACTATTCATTTCAACAAGATCAACTTGATCTTTAATCTGAGTGACAAATCTTGGTGGTTGTTTTTTATCTGCATCGTATAAATCGTCTTCCGTTAGATGTACTTCTGAAGTGTATTTTTTTATTGTGGCTTCCATTTGCATGAGTGCCTCGGATTTTTTCATACCCTTAGGTACTTGGTTTTGTAAAATAATACTTGGTAATTCTACAAAAACGTATTAAATTATTAAAAGCGTATAAAATGATGATCTATAATAAAATTTAAAATCAAGAAAGCACTGACTTTTACAAGATACTGAAGCACGTGTTGTGTCTTCTCCATAATTGTTTATTGCTTTACAAATGTATTCTCCAGAGTCTTCTGGATACACGTACAATATATCCATCGAAACAAATCCCATATCGTAAACTGTTCGATAGCGATGTCCAGCAGGTATAAGTTTACCATTTCTGTACCATTCTATACGTAAATTCGAATCATCTTTTGGTCCAACTTGACATTCAAATCTTACAGTTTCATTCTCTTCTACTGTAACTGATTTAATTTGTGTGATGAACTTTGGTGGTTGTCGTGAAGGAGCTTCCTGTGGTGGAGCTTCCGATACTGGTCCACGTTCGAGTTCCTTTAGTTTTTCACCGCTCATTCCAGATGGAAGTTGTGAATCAAAATCAATTGATTTTTTAGCTAAAGAAAAATTAAAAGTATTTTATCAACATCTTAGTATTCCAGCAGTCAAGTAAAAGAACGTCTTATCTTAAATTGATATTGAAAAACATCTTATTTCAAAATAAATGTAGATTAAATACAGTTCTTCTCTCGAATTTAGGTGAATAGGTTAATTTATGTATTACCTTAATAATATATCTTCAATAAAAGACATCAGAGTAGTATGTATAACTAGTGCTGAAAGCTGGTAACGAAAAACGTTGATTTATTGTTGTATATTTCAGCAAAGAACATTGCGTTTAAGATTTTTCTTACCAATACCATTAATTATTTCATTGATTTTGTTTAGCAAAATGAAAATATAAAATTTTAAATATTCGATATAATTTTACAAAATACAAAAAATTAATTGTAGTTTTAGTAGGCGAAACTTTAAAGGCCATATTCTTCGCCGGAAAAAATGAAAAATCAAAGTTCTTCGTCTCCAGCTTTATACACTTGTTTAACTACTTTGAAATATTCTATTAAGAATTTAAGTTGAGATCATTTTCAAATCTACATTTATTTGAAATGAGAAGCGTGTCAATATTAATTAGAAATGACACATTTTTTAATTAAAACACTGTAAGATGAGATGTTTATCTAGTAAAATTTTAAGATAAGGTGCTTTTTAAAATTATTTTAACATGAGACATTTTCCATATTTACGTTTTTTTATAGACTTACGAAATATGGTACATAACAAATAATTACATAACCCACAATTTTTTTGTTTTTGTTTTAATAGACTATACGAAATATTTATTACGTCATTTTCGTCGCTGAATTAAATATATTTGTTTGCTTATATAGTTAAGCCAATTTTTTTTTCTATCTACGGTTTATATTAGCTATAATAATTTGAGGTCTAAGATTTTTACAGATTTCTGGTCATAAATAAAATTAAAATTAAAATTCTAACTTTGAAGAAAGACTCTTATATGGTGACTCAAAATACAAAGGAAAAGTCTAGTCCACCACAAAATCTTTTTGTAATATTTACATAAACCATTTTTGACTTACATTTACATGTGATAGTTGCTTTGGTCATTGCTGTGCCCCATTTGTTTGTAGCTTTGCATACGTACTCACCGCTATCTCTTGCGTACGTATACGACAAATCCAATGAAATAAAACCAAAATCATTAATTTGATGTACTCTAGATCCAGTTGCAAATGGTCTTCCGTTATGGAACCAATCTATTCTCATTGTTGAATCTCCTACGGGTTCGACTCGACAATCAAAATGACTAGATTCACCTTCATTAACTTCTATATTTTTCAATTCAACTGTAAATCTAGGTGGATTTGGTTTTTCTTCTTCAGCAAGAATTTCCTCTCTCTTATAAAGCGATTCTTCAAGCTTCTGGATACTTTCTGTACCCGTTTTGAAATTACTAGGAAGCTGAGGTTCAAGAATAATTCCTTGTCTACCTCGTACTTGAAGTTTACATGACACGGTTGCTTCTCCATGTCTGTTGATAGCCTTACACGTGTAAAGCCCTGAATCTCGCTGATAACAATTAGCTACCTCAAGTATAACAAAACCAAAATCATGAATCGTTTTAACTCGAGATCCAGCTAAAAGTGGTTTACCATTATGGAACCATTCTACTCTCATGCTAGAGTCATTTACAGGTTGTAGCCTGCATTCAAAATGGGCCAAAGAATTTTCAGAAAGAGTTAAATCTGATGGAGTTGTTATGAATTCTGGTGGTTTTCCTGTGTCATCATCAGGAACGGGCTGACCGGATTCTACACCAAGTCCTTCGAGCTCAGCAATTTTGTTTATGGTACCTTCCATTCCTTTAGGTAATTGAGATTCTAAAATTATGCTGCGTTTACCAGTGCACTTCATTGTGCATGTTGTTACTGCTTCACCATAATCATTCGTGGCTCGACAACTGTATTCTCCAGAATCTTCGGGATATATAGGTGATATTTCAAGAATCACGAAACCAAAATCACAGAAAGTACGGAATCGAGTTCCAGTTCTCAATGATTTTCCATTCCAGAACCATTCGACCTGAATTATTATTTTGAATGGATAATTATAATTATATTAGTTGAATTTTAAAGTTTTTGTATTTAACTATTACATCACCTATAAACCCATAAATAAAATATTATATTACCCATAAACGAAGTTAGAGCTGATGCTGTAGCATAAATACCGCAACTGTAAGACTGTAGGAAATTTATTTTATTCTTAAATATTGTATCTTTGTCACGAATCCAAGGAGAGTAAGTTTTTAAGTGTGCAATTTTTTTGGGGTGTAGTTTGTACTTCGTTGGCTCAGGTAAGATATCGTACACAGGAATGATTTTTTCATTAGAGTACTAATTTCTTCAATGGTTAGTTACTGACTCACTAAGAATTTGAATTGCCTTTTCATAAGCGGTTTCAAGTAGTTTACTATCGCTTATGTACATATACAATATACTTGGCTTACATACAGATAAATCTGTGGACTGAAAGATTTGAATAAAAGCATCTAGTGAGTCATGATTAAACCAATTTTTTCCGATAAGACATTTAGTCTTACATAAATGATGTTGATTTCTTTTCTATCAAAATACTTTCTAAACTTTTTTTTTCTTTGTTTCAAAAGTTGATTTACATGGAAAATAAGACAAACGTTATATTGTCGTCCTGATTTCTTAGGAAATTTTTTTTTTTTTTTAATTGCTAATGTCTTCTTCATTGCTTTTCCAGTGAAACTTGGATTTCTTATCAGTATTTGTCTTGTGAATCTGCTATTAATGATTTCTGATAAAAGATAGTAAATTTCACTCATTTCTTATATTTTGTCTTTCAAAAATTAATGATCCACGTTGACTTAGACAGTTGTGGTACTTTTAAGAGTATATATCATGAAAAGACAATATTTTTTTTGGAATGAGAAGCTGTCCCTAAATTTAATAATAATATGCGAGCAATGACTTAACTTTTTTGATACTATTTTTTTCTTAGATATTTTAAACATTCTTAAAACTTCTAATTGCTTCCTCAGCTGTCATATCAGAAGCAACATAAGAGCATTTGGTCTTTATGAGTCTATCATCTCCAGCAAGACCATTTGGACAACAAGCTTACATATAAAATTTTTTATCAATGAATAACCAGCAATCTTTTACATCACAACTAACTTTTTGCAATTTTTTTTCGCCAATTCTTTTTGTTCAATGCTATATTTCTAACTGGGAATGCCTTCGCTAACGGGGTGATACAAAGTTTATTTGACTCTTGTACGCAGTAGTACAAGGTTTCTAACTGCAATCCAATTCAAAATTTAAGGCTGGCAATAAATTTTTTCTTAAAGCTTTTCATAATAGGCTTTTGTTTTGTTCAATGGTATCTCGTTTAATTTTATCTCGATGTTCCACTTACTAGTCCAAAAATTATTTCTTTAACTGATCAACAATTTGAATCAGCTTATTTACATCAGTAAGTTCATCATCTTCAAACTTTTTACTATTGGGCCTATTGGCATAACTTTCTTTTTTGTCAAACTTTGCTATTCTCAATCGTGTTTGTTTAACTTTCCATAACCATCGATTAGTTACTTTTATAGGTATTATTAGTACTGTTTTATCGATACTATCATACAGTCTCATTAAAGATTCTCTCTCATTACAGTGCATCACAGCTATAGAAATCCTTGTATTGTATGGGTTAGTTAAACTGTAATTTACTTTTTTCCATTTGATATGTTACGTATAATAGAATTGACTGCTTCTGCTTTATCATTAGTAACTTTGTGTAAGAATTTTAACAAAATTGCCTCATGTACTGGATGCTTCGTCAATTTTTTGAAAGAGGCCAACCCTTACTAGATCTGATACGTAGTTTCTTGACTCTATATTACACGTCATGTCTTTCCCACTGCCATTTTTGTGCTAACTGAAAACATAATATGAAGTACTTTATATATCTTTGTATCATTCTTTGATTTTACTTTTCCAACTTCTCACGTCATTTATTTTTTCCATAACCACATCTTCAAATGATTGCCGTCTGAAAAAACTATTAGATTTCACAGTAGTTCTGAGGGCAACGAGACCCTTTACTGTTTGCTTATCTCTTCCTTGCGTAAGTTTTGATACATCAGCAATCTTTTTACTTCAATTCTTAAGGAGATAATTTGTGAACAGTTTTCTTTTTGCTACAATGTTGTGGTCTTGATATAGATTACTATCATCTATTAATTTAGTAATATTACTATCAGCGTTGGTAATAATTGTTAGGTGTATTTAATTCCTGGCTACGTTGAAATCCTTCTAAAATAGTATCACTTCTTATAGCTGTCAAAGGTTTGTAAGTACTCTAATTTTTATAAGAAGTGTGGTTTGGATATTCATCATGATTCTTAAATCTAGCAGTAATAACTACAAGTAATACCATACTTATTTCTTGTTCCGTAAAATAAAATTTTTCATGTGTCATTATCAGTTATAATGTTAGCTCCTAACAAAAAATTGTAATTTGTGCCTTATGATTTCTTACCCCAACTTCCATCAGTATATACTCTAGTATGTGGAACTCTAGTTAAAGTAACGTGATCTCTGAAAAGTGCCAATATTTTTCGAGTTGCATCAATACTAGCTCGTGTAACATGTAACATGTTATTGTATACTACATCATGAAGTGCTTCGAAACTTTAGTTACACATACAATCGATGTTCATGTCTGCACATATTTATGTTAACTGTTTAGAACCAACTTCTATATGTACTGATGTGCTTACAGTGGCAGTATTAATATCCATGTACTAATCATCTTCAGGTTATGACTACATTACTGTCTCAAATTCACATAAATTAAAACGAAAAAAAAGTTTTGACTGCAACCCGACTTTCTTTGTTTTTTTTTTTTAACTCACTCCATTAACTAAAAAGATAGATTTGTGTACCACTGCTGTGATTGATGTACGATCGTTGCATTTTTTTCATGACATTATCAAAATCAACATGTAATCGATAATTCTTTTCTGTATTACCCATTCATATTTCAGTATCAGTACTCATTGAACAATTGCTCTTATGGATTATAGAAGTATCATCAAGGATGTCGTCAGTGTACATATTACGTACATCTTTATAAATACATCTACATTCGACTTAATTTGTGATACTTTTCTTATTTCCTAAAGTTTTACCGTGATCTATTTTAAGCATAAAGTTTTTTCTTGTCACAAATGTTTCTTGACAATTGTACAAAAGCACATGATCGTCGTGCTTACTGTCAATATTTTTAAATTCACCATCAAAATAAACAATACGGCCATAGTCAAGTGTCGTTTTTTATATTACTGTGATTAATTTTGGACGTTGTGGTTGTATCTGGGGAAATGACACAATGGCTATCAGACAATTACATTGATACATTACTGCCTTCGTCTTTTAAGCGTTACCTTTTTAAAAAATAAATAAATAGTTTGTAATCATAGACATTACGGTAATGTTTTTGGAATAATAATGACACAAAAGTTACTTATGTAACCATCCAACGTCCTGCGAATTTCTGTCAAGGTTTTTTATTTACAACAAGCATCTTTTTTAGAGAAAAAACAACTAAATATTTAATTTAATTCGTTGCAAGAGTCTCTTTTACAACTGGCTAATTCAACATTAGAACTCCTATTTTTACGTTTCATTCACGGTTCTCTTCCCTGTTTGTAACCATGGTGTATTCATTTTTCCCTTTCAACTTTTATTACAACAGCTGGCTTACTATAATTACAATCCATATCGATGACTCTGTTGCAATTGATAGAGCTTGTGTCGTTTCTATTATTACATTTTGTTTTTAAGAAGCACCTGTGCAACAAAAATAAAATGTCTTATAACGTAATTATGCAGGTAATGTTTAGCTAATTAATGTGGATAATTATTAGTCACGCATTAACGTTGAATCAGCTTAGATTTGAAAGATTCCTTGAACTAAGNTAAAACAGAAAGTAAAAAATTAATTTTATATTTACCTTTAGTTTTGAGTCATTTGTTGGTGTGAATCGAGCTTCAAAATGTGCACTTTCTCCTTCACGAAGATCATCTAAGTTGCTTAGTGGAACTGTGAATACAGGTGCTTTTCCTTTGGCTTCTGTTACCGTTTCATCCCTAGTCTTGATTAATGAATCTTCTAATGTTTGAATTTTTTCAAGACCTCCTTCCATACCTTTTGGTAACTGTGATTCAAGAATCAAATTGGATTTTGATATGCATCTTAAAGTTGCTTTTGTAGAATCTTGACCATATTTATTGATTGCACGACATTCATATTCTCCTGAGTTTTCTTCATAGCAGTAAAGTATATCAAGAATAACAATTCCAAAGTCATGGAATGTACGGTATCGATGGCCATGGGGTAATTTTTTTCCATTGCAATACCATTCTACCTTCAAATCTGAATCTGTGATCGGTGTTAATCGTGCCTCGAAGTGAGCAGATTGTCCCTCAACTAACTTGGCAATGTCGGTAATCTGAGTAATAAATTTAGGTGGTTCAGTTACTGGTGGCAGTGTCGCGACTTGTTGATCACCCGTATATGCTTCCAATTCTTTTATTTTTGCCAGTGAATCAGGCTGTAAAGTGTCAAGGTATACACCACTTTTACCGTAGCATTTCAACGTAGCTTTTGTGCAGTCTTCACCAAATTTATTACTTGCTTTACAAACATATTCGCCACTATCATGTGACATAACACCAGCAATATCCATGACAACAAATCCAAAGTCCGACACCATTTTATATCGTGACGAATGGCGTAGAGGTTGCCCGTTATGATACCATTCCACTTTCATATTTGCATCCCCAACTGGAACAAGAGTACATTCGAAATGCGCTGATTGATAATCTTTAAGATTATCTAACGATTGAATTTGGGTTGTGAATCTTGGTTTTTGTCCCATAGATTTATCAACGCATTCCAACATTAAAACAACTTCAGCTTTTCCCCATTGATTTGACGCTTTACAAATGTAGCTTCCAGTGTCTTCTATTTTTGTACCATGTACTTCAAGAACTACTGTTCCAAATGCGTAAACCGTACGAATGCGATGACTTGCTTCTATTGGTTTTTCATTAAAATACCATTCGATAACCATTGTTTGATCCCCAGTAGGAACAAGCGTAGCTTCAAAATGAGCCAGCTCTCCTTCTGACAAGTTTGAAATATTTTCTGATTGTGATGTAAAAACTGGTGCTCGACCTTCTTCATCTTGTAATGGTGCACCTGGCTTTTTAAGTAATGATTCTTCCAAATCTTGAATTGCCTCAAGTCCCTCTTTTCCTTTGGGATGCTGAGAAAGTTCTATTACATTCTCTTTTGTTGAACAGTATATTGTTGATGAAGTAAAGGCTTCGCCTTTCTTATTGTAAGCTTTTGCTGTATAGATACCAGAGTCTCTATCATAAGCGTCGGTCAAATCCAGAGTAATAAATCCGAAATCACACGTAGTTTTGAATCTCGAAGCATAGGGTAAAACTTTTCCATTAAAATACCACTCAATTCTTAAGTTGGGGTCATCTTTTGGTTCAACTTGTCCTTCTAAATGTAATGGTTCAGTCTCTCCTAGTTTAATCTCAGTAACGAAAGGAACTGTCCAAACAGGCTGAGGATATTCTTTTTCTGGGCTAGTTTCCGGTTTTCTAGCTTTTGATGCATAAGCATCATCAACTTCTTTTACTTTTTCGAATCCAGCCTCACCTTGTGGATGTTGAGTTTGTAGATAAATATTTTGTTTACTAGTACATTTTAGAGTTCCAGAAGTCTGAGCTGAACCTTTCGAATTGGTTGCTTTTACAGTAATTATACCTGAGTCTTCTTCATAAGCATGCGATAAGTCTAACGCTACATATCCAAAATCATAAGTTGATGTAAATCGAGCACCAAATGGTAACGGTTGTCCATTGAGGAACCATTCGATTTTCATAGTTGGATCTTTCGATGGTTGTACACTACATTCAAAGTGAACGTTATCACCTTCAGTGCACTCTATATTATTAAGATGACTAATAAATACGGGTTCTTCGTAAGTTGGCTCCGGTTTTTCTTGCGTATCCATTGATGGTTGCTCAAGAGCACTTATTTTCGAGAGAGCATCAGGATGTAATGTATCTCCCAAGAGCCAATGCTTATCTACCACTTTTAAGCTACTTGTCGATACAGCTTCTCCGAGTAAATTGGTAGCCTTGCAGGTATAAATTGCAGAGTCATCTGAACGTGAGCCGTTAATTGATAAGGAAACTAAACCAAAATCGAAAGTACTTTTCAAGCGTGTTCCCATTTGAAGAGTAACACCATTTTTGAACCATTCAACACGAAGGTTTGGATCGGCTCGAGGTTCTACTTGGGCTTCTAAGTAAACATGTTGTCCTTCTACTAAATTATCGTAACTCTTAAGATGTGTTGTAAAAACAGGTGCCTGTTGCGGTGTCGTGTCTATAAACATTTCTGGAACTTTATTCATTTCTGCCTCTTTAAGTTGTATCTTTTGCCATGCTTCAGGTTGAATAGCATCACTAGATATAGCTGACCGAGCTTTTACTTTAAGAGAGATAGATGATACAGCTTCGCCGGATTTATTTATAGCCTTTACAGTAATTATACCAGAATCTTCAGGAATAACTTTCATTATATCTAGCGTAACAAAACCAAAGTCATGGCTCACATGATAACGAGAACCTTCAAAACAAATATCATAATTAGATGTAATTAATATACAAATTAGGAAAATGCATTTAAGTAAATTTACAAATAATCTTACCCATTTTTAATTCGACGCCATTAACGTACCACTCAAATCTTAAATTGATATCACCAACAGGAACTACTCGACATTCGTAATGAGCCACTTGTCCTTCCCATAATTCTGCTGGTCCAGTCAACAATTGAGTAAAGATTGGTTTGTCAAAAACTTTTTCAGGTTCTTCTGGACGCATTGGTATTCTATCAGCTTCTAAACGAGCAATTTTTTGTTGTGCTTCAGGATGTTGCGTATCTAACTGAATACTTGCTTTTGCTGTAAAAATTAACGAAATAATATATAGCTTCAAAATGAGCCAGCTCTCCTTCTGACAAGTTTGAAANATATATATGATTCTTAATGAATTACTTCTCGTTACTTACACAACATTTTCATCGATGCAGTAGTTACAGCTTCACCAAGAGCATTAACAGCACGACACATGTATACGCCTTCATCTTCCTCACGAACGTGAGAAATATTAAGAGATACGTATCCGAAATCATGAGTTTTTGTGATTCGTGAACCTACATAAAAAAAACATTATTTAATAAGTCACAAGTCTAATAAAAGATACATATGCAATGGCTCTATGAAAGTTCCAAACAAACTTGTTTCAATAGGTTTTTCATTTCTGAACCATTCGATTTTCAGTGATGCATCTCCAACTGGTATTAATCGACATTCAAAATGAGCTATTTGACCTTCCGGAATATTATCAATGTTTTGTAATGGTTGAGTGAAAACTGGTCTTTGTTTCGTTTGTGGTTCAGGAATCTCTGGTCTTTTCCATGGTTGTTGCGATTCCAGCTCACGTATTTTATCCAAACCTTCGGGACGTTGAGAGTCTAGGATGATGTTATCTTTTTGAATAACTTTCAGTTCTGTCGAAGAAACACATTGACCAAGAGCATTTATAGCTCGTACAGAATATTGTCCAGCATCTTCTGGCACAGCATGGGAAATTACAAGAGCTACGTAACCAAAGTCAAAAGTCACGTGGAATCTAGATGCTGATGGTAAAGGTTTTCCGTTATGGAAAAATTCAATTCTTAAGTTGGCATCATGTAACGGTTCAATTTGGCACTCAAAATGAGCTGTTTGCCCTTCGTATATTTCGGTTGTACCCTAAAGTATAAAATTAATTAATAGTCAAATACTTTTTTTTATAAAAAACTTAATCAATACACATACTCTAAGCTCCGTCACAAATCTTGGTGGGAATACTGGAGGTTCTTCGATTTCTAGTCTTGTTGGACGACCTTGAGCTTCTAATTCTCTAATTTTTTCCAACCCATCAGGATGTTGAGTGTCGAATATAAGACTTCGGTGAGCTGAAATGTCGAAAAAAATTTAATTTACAAATCTCATTTGATAATACACATTTCATAATTCACTGTTACTTACATCCAACTTTAATAGTACATGTATTAACAGCTTCCCCTGCAAGGTTTGACGCTTTTGCAATGTACGTCCCCGAATCTTCTGCATAACTGTACAAGATATCTAAAGCTACGTATCCAAAATCATGAGTTGTTCGGAAGCGATGTCCAGTTTTAACAGCTTTTCCATTCACAAACCTAAAAAATTTTATTTGATTTTTTTTAGGGAATCGAATAAATTTCATTATCTGAATCTACCGTACCATTCTATTTTTAAATTGGCGTCATTAATGGGTTCCACACGACATTCTAGATGAGCGTGTTCTCCCTCTTTAAGGTGATCCAAGCTATTAAGAGGTGTAAGGAAAACAGGTTTTTGATGTACAATTTCTTGTTCAGCTACCTCCTTGATCTCCACCGTTTCTAGCTCTCGAATTTTTTCCAGACGTTGCGCATCAAGCGTATCGAGACACAGGCTTTGTTTAGCTAACGATAATACAGAAATATTTAAAAAATATGCAAATCAATTTAGATCTTTATGACTTAAATTACTCACAATCAACAGATATGACACAAGTAGTTACAGCTTCTCCAACAACATTTGAAGCCTTCAACATATACGTTCCTGAATCTTCTGGGTAAGCATACAAAATATCTAATGCAACAAATCCAAAATCATATGTTGTTTTAAATTTGTGTCCTTGAGGAATAGGCTTTCCATTTCTGAACCATTCAACTACCATAGTTGGATCGTTAACGGGTGTCAGCGTTGCTTCTAAATGTGCATTCTTTCCTTCAGGCAAGTGTTCAATATTTTTCAATGGTCTTCCAAACTTTGGTTTTTCGGCAATAAATACATCTTCTTTATCATGACGTTGATACCGCGAATCACTCTCCAGATACTGTATCTTCTTTAATGCACCTTCATGTTGGGTCTCACTGATGATCGAATCCCGAGCTGTGAAAAAAGCACATTAAATTTATAAAATATCGAGCTTTATAAATAAATTTGGACTTTTTTTTAACCATAGAATATACCAGAAAATATTTTTGTTTCCACGACTTGGTCGTAAATATACTTTTAATTTACATTTAACATCAAGAGTAACATAATTTTCGCTTGACTAAATTTATTTGTTACTTGTATGAAGATTACGTTTCCAAAAAAATGGCTAAGCATCATTTTTTTGAAAATACTTCTAGAAATCTTCTTCATGCGATTTGGTAAACTTAGATATAATGTATCGACACAAAACGAAAAAATTCGTCTATAAGGCCTGCATTGTTTGAGCGAGCGAGAGTTACGCGATTGTATTGGGATCCTAATACCTTATGGTATTTTATTTCGCTCAAGGGAGTTATATAATGAGATCACCATCAAACCTGGAGTTACAGCTATATTAGAGCCTAATAGGAGTTCTGTTAAATTTGTGCTAAGGTTCGCAAGAAGCAAAATATTAATGGTCATAGTTTTCATACTTAAACATGGATGCTTTTGGATAAGTATCCTTTTGTGGCCTACCATCTTGTATATTATAAAAAGTAATGATAAACTTTTGATGATAGTTTAATTTTACTAATAAAATACCTCATGGTTTTTTTTTACCTTAAAAACACTCAATGGCGCCTGTGAAAGGAGAAATAAATAGTAAGCATCGTGGAAATTGCCAAAAGATATGTTTTCACACGAATGTCAGAAGGACAAAAGATATACCGAAGTATAAAGTGCGCTTTATTGACTATAGCACTAGAAAAACGAATTGATCTATCAACGAATATGTACGCGTTAGTTTGAGTGACTAAAAATTGATAGGTAAGAAAGCGGGACCCTATTAAAATGTTGTTGACCCCACCTGGCTTTAGGTCATCTTACTTAAGAGAATTATTTCATTCAACAAAAAATCCAGACTAGTTTTACTGGCATCAACAGAATATCAAGAAACCGATCAATTTAAAAAACTTGGCAACCTACTCTCAAATGACTTTTGAGTCTCAAACGTCTTCTATTCAAAGTCAAACGATCGTTCTCAATTCAATTGCTCATTACAGAATTTCAACGAATTTACTTACGTTGCACAACCAATGCGGCTGAAGTAACAGCTTCATTCAGTTCATTGGATACTTTTTTGGATACTTTGCATGTGTAAGTGCCAGAGTCTTCAGCGTAAACTGTGAGTATATCAAGTGAGGCAAAACCAAAGTCATATGCTGTTCTGTATCTGTGTCCAGTAGAAAGTGGTTTACCATTTTGGAACCACTCTACTTTTAAGGAAGCATCTGGATAAGGTTCGATACGACACTCATAATGTGCGCTTTGACCTTCCACTAAATTTTTTGGTCCATTTAGTTGGACTGTAAATCGTGGTTTTTCTGTGATAGTAATCTCTTCCTCACTTCGTTTTTGATATTTGCTCGTATCTTCTAGTGCTTGGAGTTTTGATAATGCACTTTCGTGTTGTGATTCGTACTGTAATGCTGCTTTTGCTGTATAAGTAGGAGTAAGTAGGAGTGTGTGGTGTTTATGATTTATTTCTATTTAATTGAATATTAAAATTTGGAATATTTCTCAATAAAAAATATTAACACTTACATTGCACAAACAATGTGGCTGATGTAACAGCTTCACCCAATTCATTATAAGCTCGACAAGTATAAGTTCCTGCATCTTCTGGATTTACGTATTTCATGTTGAGAGCAACGTAACCAAAGTCATGCATTGTTGTAATTCGATTGGCTAAAAATAAAAATTTATTTTTCCAATTCAATCATTCAATAATGAACTGCAAAATTGTTATTAATTTGAATCAAAGTACACACAGGCTAAAATTGGTACACCATTCCGCAACCACTGCACTTGGAGGCTTGAATCTCCTACAGGAATAAGTCGAGCTTCAAAGTGCGCTGCTTGATTTTCAGCAACTTGTAAATCTTTGATGGGCATTGTGAAAACGGGAGCTTGTGATACACTTGTTTCTTCTTGTAAAACTTTGCGTTGATACCGAGAATGATCCTCCAATTGTCTGACTTTCTGCAAAGCATCTTCATTTTGAGACTCCAGATAAATAGATTTTTTAGCTGTAAAAATCAATAGTTTTAATAACTTCAAGAAACGTTCTGGTGTGAAATAAGAAAAAAAAAAACTTTATAAAAATTTACTGACAATGAACTACAGCGGTTGCTGAAGTAATAGCTTCTCCAATAGCATTTCTCGCTAGACAAACATAAGTTCCAGCATCTTCTGGGTAAGCATACATGATATCCAAAGCAACAAAGCCAAAACTATTAGTTTCAACGAATCGTGATCCTGCCTTTACAGGTAAATTGTTGTGGAGCCACTCCACCTTCATTGTAGCATCAGATACTGGAATTAATCTGCATTCAAAGTGCGCTCGCTGACCTTCTTTAATTTCTACGTTATTCAACGAAGTAGTAAATATTGGTGCTTGAGTTGTAACTTCTTCAATATCTTCTTGTCGATGATATTTTGATCTATCTTCAAGGTAATGAATTTGTTCAAGACCTGTTTCATTTTGTGTGTCTGTTAATATTTGAGCTGTGGATCGGCAACTCAATTTACATGAAACTTCGTCACTTCCGACAAGATTTACAGCTCGTACAGTGTAAACACCAGAATCTTCAGCAATTAAATCTATCACATCTAAAGCGACATAGCCAAAGTCGTGAATTGGTCGGAATCGGTGTCCTAAAATTAAATTATTCGTATTTATTCAATTGATAAAAATTTATTAGAAATTAACTATAGGAAAGTTAATAGTACCTATTGTGACTGGACGACCGTTTTTGTACCACTCCACTTTCAAATTGGAATCGGTCACTGGCTCGAGCTTACATTCAAAGTGGGCGTGTTGTCCTTCTCGAAGATTTTCTTGACTTTTAGGATGAGTTATAAATTTGGGCTTAATATTCACGACTTCATCTACAAGTTCGTGTCTTTTATACCTAGAGGCGTCCTCTAAGTATTGAATTCGTTCAAGACCTTCAGGATTTTGAGACTCCGTGATTAAATCTTTTTTAGCGTGTACTCTAACAGAACATGACGTTACAGCTTCACCAAGTTGGTTACTCGCTTGACACGTATATACTCCTGAATCCTCGGGATAAACACCCAATATGTCAAGAGCTACATAATCAAATTCATAAGATGGTCTAAAACGATGCCCTGTTTTTACTGGTCTTCCATTTACAAACCAGTCAACTCTCATCGATGCATCACCTACAGGTTGCAAACGGCATTCCAAGTGAACGTTTGTTAATTCAACGGTTTCGATATTATGGAGTGGTCGAGTGAATTGCGGAGCTTGTTGAACCATTACTTCATCTTGTTGAGTTCTTCTGTATCTACTTGAGTCTTCCAGCATTTGGATTTGTTCTAAAGATTGTTCGTTTTGAGTGTCAGTAACTACATCTGAGCGACCAATAACACGAACGCATGCCGAAGTATGTGCTGATCCCAAGTGATTTGTAGCACGAGCTGTGTATTCACCCGAGTCTAGGGCACTTGTATGGATTATATCAAGTGCAACAAAACCAAAATCGTAGTATGTCCGGAATCTTGAGCCAACAGTAACTGGTCTGCCATTTTGAAACCATTCAACACGCATTGTTGGATCCCCCATGGGTTCTAATCGACATTCAAGGTGAATATTTTTACCTTCACTTACTGGTGGAGGATCACTGAGAGGTTGAATAAAAATTGGCTTTGATTTTGAAATTTCTTCGATGTAGTATTGTGGTTCGACAAATTTGGATTCTTCAAAACGTTGTGTTTTTTCATACGCACCGTGATGCATGCTACTTGTGTCAATGCTAGAGCGAGCTATAAGAAATGAATTACATTTTTTTACAACTAAAGTAATAAAAAAGTACATTGATGAACATAAGTAACGGTAAAAATGTTTATTCAATTTATGAAAATATTTTTTAATATTAACGAGGTTTAAGAAAATTCATCTCAAAAACTTTTTGATTAAAAAACCAATCATGTTATCTCAATAAATTATTTTTTTATTGCATCAACGACAATTTGTTAAGTATATTTATTCATTGGTGTGTATCATACTAATATATTGTCATATTAAATGGATTTATTTAACAATCGAGAGCTCTGTCTTTTTCTATAAAAACGAAAATACTATTACTCAGAAGTGTTTTAGTAAACGGAACAACTTGACTCATACTAAAAATATTATGCATCAAAAAAGTACACAATATTTTTCAAAGTTATTCATACTTACTTTCAACTATCATATTAGTCGACAATTTTGCTTCACTTAAGTTATTCCTTGCAACCACTACGTAATTTCCTGCATCCTCTGGTCGAACTTGGAGAATATCAATGGCAACATAACCAAAGTCATGGTAAGTTTGGATTCTGTTTGCGGCAGTGATAGGTTTGCCATTATGGTACCATTCAATTTTCATCGACAGATCACTTTGAGGTTCCACGCGAGCTTCGAAATGAGCTCTTTGACCTTCAACAATTTTATTAGTACCTTTCAAAGGCCCTAAAAATTTAGGTGGCTGACTAATTTGCTGTTCTTCCTCGACTTTGCGCGAGTACCGGCTGGAGTCTTCTAAACTTTGTATTTTTTGTAATCCACTGGGATGTTGACTATCATAAATTATATCATCTTTGGTAATAACACTTAATTGAGCTGAAGTATGTGATTCACCAGAACGATTGTAAGCTCGGCACGTATAAATTCCAACATCATGAATTGTAACATATTTTATCGTAAGTGCAACGTATCCAAAGTTAAAGAATGTTGTAATTCGTGAACCTTTAAAGATAAATGGTATCAATATTTTAGAATTATTTAGGAAACATGTATAACTTCAGGGTTAATACAACAAGATTTTAATAATGTCTTACTAGCTTCGACGGGACGTCCATCTTTAAGCCATTCGACGCGGAGTGAAGCATCTCCGACGGGTTCGAGTTGAGCTTCATAATGTGCGAATCCTCCTTCTCGAATATTAATTTGATCTTTTATGGGTGTTTTAAATACCGGTGGGATTGTCTGCTCAGGCGGCTCTTGAATATACTTATGATGAGTAGATTGTTGATAAGCTTCCAATTCCTCAGTAGCTTCAATGTATCGTTGCTGCTCGGGAATACCTAGATCACTCGTAACACTCGTACGTGCTACAAAAAATTCGAAACATCAACATAAGTATTGCTTTGACACTATTATAAAATATTTACTTACATTGCACGAACAATGTGGCTGAACTGACAGCTTCGGCTGTTCCTGCAAAAATAATTTATCGTTATTTACAAAATATTTATTTATTTATTTTTTTAATGCCTTACTTTTGCTAAAGTATCTTTATTTTGGTTATAAAGATTTTTATAAATATAAATGTAAAAAAGATAAAATTAATATAGCACGCAAAGCACGTTGTAATTTCTACATGGTATCTATGTTTTTCAACCCGTTGAAGATAAGAATGTAGACTAACGCGTTAAAATTTTTTTTATTATAAACCAGTGAAAAAAATAAGCACACATTGATGGTTAAGCAATTCATGGTTAATGTTACACCAAAAATTTTTTATGCAATGAATTAAGTACAGAAATAACTTTCGTATACTTACTTTCCTTATTTATGAATCAAACTAAAACTTAAAATACTTTTAAAAATTTTTAATCATTTGAATTTACCGTTGCAATCACGTAGTGAGTAAGCTCGAACTGTGTAAGAACCTGCATCTTCAGCCCGTAGGTGCATAATATTAAGGGAGACGTAACCGAAGTTGAAGATTGTCGAGATTCTAGAACCTGGAATGAAAAACAACCATTATTTGTAACTTATTGACAAAATTATACACTGTTGAAAACACAAATTGAATAAACGTAAAATTAAGACCAAACTATTGTTATCAGACACATTGACAAATAAGTACAGTTGCATTTTGGACAACAGTTAGAATTTAAATTGGTGAATACTGAGTCATCGTCATCGTCTTTACGATGCTTTGATAATATTGATAAGGCATTTTTTTATTACATACAACACAAGTTGGGATGTGTAAGATTTATGAACTTACTAGCTGTGATAGGTCTTCCATCTTTATACCACTCCACTTTTATGGTAGGGTCGCTAACAGGAGTCAGCTGTGCCTCAAAATGAGCATTACGACCCTCTTGCAGTTCGCCTAAATCTTGGAGAGGTTTGATAAAAACGGGTCGCGGAGCAGACATTTCTTCCATACTTTCTTGTCTTTGATACTTATTATAATCTTCAAGATGTTGAATATAGCGAAGACTTTCGGGATTTTGACTCGTTTGTTCGATAGTGGCACGAGCTATTTTAGTTAAAAAATTATTGTAATCAGCTTTATTTTAATCAGCTTAACCATTATGCATACAATGAAATACTAACGTGTGACACTGAGAGTGGCTCGAGATTCTGCTATTCCAGTTGAGCTAACTACACTGCAAACATACTCGCCGCTATCTTCCATTATAATGCTTATTAAGTCCAAAGCAATGAAACCAAAACGAAAGATAGACGTTGCTCGGGAACCTCAAATACGATTTGTTTCGTTATTTTCCGTTCGAAATATTGTAGTGCTTATAAATCTAAATAATTAATATGCATAATAATGTATACTTACTTGCACTTAAAGCTCGTCCATTAAAATACCACTCCACTCTCATTGTAGGGTCTCCCACCGGTTCGATCCTGGCCTCTAAGTGAATGCGACCACCTTCAATTTGATGACAATCACGTAATGGTACAATGAAGCGTGGTGGCGGATATATACGTTCCTCTTCAGATGGAGGTACGTATGGTCTTGTTCTTTCCACCGGTTTTAAATGTATCACTTCAGGGTCAGGTATTGGTCTAAAAGCCAAGGCAATCACGTACAAAAAAACCATGTAGTAATGACATACTGGCACTCATGTATCGGTCAACTTACTCAGGTTCGATGACTCTCGTCGGTCGAGGTAAGTTTAGACGTCTTGGTGGTTCGGGAGCTGCTGTCTTAAGAGTTTCAACGAACAAGCGGGCTCGGGTGGCAGTAGAGCCTGCAATATTTTGCGCAGTACACTGATACCAGGCTGCATCATTGAATGTAGCTCGCGGTATGTCTAAAGTAGAGGCTCCACTGCCATCTGTCATAATGCGCACGTCAGGTCCAGGCATAATTTGTATACCATCCTATTTCATCGGTAAATTACAGAATTAATAAATAAGTTATTTATCTAGTAAGTACGTAAATCAATACATTCAATAATCAATAGACTAATATGTATATTAACCAATAAGTATGTATTGTATGGTATTGTGTGAGATTCCACATAAACTCATTGCTCTACGTATCCTGATTCCTATCTCTACCACCTTATCTCTTTTTTTCCTAATTCTCCTCTTCTTTCCTTAGGCGTGTAAATATTTTATGGGAATCCTATAAATATATTTTCAAGGGGCTGCACACTCTGAAGTCTTTTGGAGACTTCTGAAGTCTTTGAAAGACTTTAAACCCTATGCACTCTGGAAGTTCCGGTAAAAATTTTGAAGTCTTTGAAAGACTTAGAATGACTTATGAAATCTTTTTTAATGACTTTAAACTATATATACTCTTAAAGTCCCGGTAAAAAGTCTGAAATCTTTGAAAGACTTAGGAAGTCTTTTTTAATGACTTGAAGTCTTTTTAAAAGACTTTGAACTATATACACTCTTGAAGTCCTGGTAAAAAGTCTGAAATCTTTGAAAGACTTAGGAAGTCTTTTTTAATGACCTGAAGTCTATTTTAATAACTTTAAGCTATATGCACGCTTGAAGTCCTGGTAAAAAGTCTGAAGTCTTTTGGATACTTCTGAAGTCTTTGAAAGACTTAGAATGACTTATAAAGTATTTTTTAATGACTTCAAGAGTGCGCAGCCCTTCGTACATTCCTCTCAGATGATTTGGTCCATCAATCCGAGTGAGTACTATTTTCAGGATGCAGTAGTCGTTACAAGTATACCCCGACTGATATCAGGTTTGACTATCTAAAATTTACCGGTATAATACCAATAAGGCCAGGTGTTGGCTTCCTTCAGAACCAGTGTCTGATCCAGACATCTTTCAGGAAAAACCACTGTTTGTCTTTAAAACTGGATAAGTGATTCTTCGACATCCAGGGTACTCATGCTATCGAATAAGCCTGATAAAACAATTTTTATATGTTTCGACAGGATTCGAACCCATGACTCTATTGAGTTTCCCCAGTTCGGGGGTTAACTACTAAACCATCAAAACTCTAATTCAATTAATATGTGTGTAATAAATAATGAATAATTTTATTAATAATTTAAAAAATAAGGTTAACATTTTATTTACCATAAGCTTTTTTAACTGTGAGACATATCCTAAGAAGTTATATGTTTACAGAACCCCACCCTCTCTCCTTTGGAGTCAAATGATTGTGGGAAGTATTTCTCTGTAGCCATCACACGCATTTATATGTACTTATTAAATTTTATATGATTTACTAACCTTTTGCCAAGTGATTCGAGGTGACGGAGCTGCAACTGCTCGGGCAGAGAAAATCACGGGTTCGCCTTCTTTAACAGTAGTCGTCATGAATCGTTCAACAAATTTCGGAGCTATGACTTGTTCTTTCTCTATCACGTTGAGATTACACTGAAAAGACGTTTCACCGGCCTTGTTACGAGCTACACACGTAACGATTCCGCCGTCAGATCTGTCGACGTTTGTAATCATAAGAGAGTTACTGCCAGACTCATTAACCAAAATTTTGTGGGTTGCATCGTTGTTGACAGGAGATCCATTAATGTACCAAGTTACTTCGGGATACGGTCGTCCAGTTACACGGCAATCAAATCTATAAACGCATTAAAAATTTAATCCTATTCATTGTAACAATCATCTACCATCCATATTTCAAAATGACTGTATGCCTACAAACCTCGTCATTTTTCCTTCGGTGATATCGCGATCGGCGCAAGTGCGAATGAAATTCGGTGCGAGAATTTTGCTACTGTCAGGAGACTCCACAGGAGTACTAGACTGGAACGTCGATGTGACTTCCCTGGTGCTTTCAGTTGTATGGATGGGTACATGGTCGACCTGATCGTTCGACTCAACAGCAAGGTAGGCTGAGCTAACTGTACAACCTTGTGGATTTTCCGATAAAAGAGAGTAATGTCCACCATCGTCTGTAGTCACTTTACGGATTTTCAGTTGTGCTTGTTGGTTTGAGTATGTCGTTTCAATATTTTGTGAGTCGCGTATGCGCTGGCCATTTTTGAACCACGTCAGCTGAGAAATAAAATGTTAATATTTTTAAATTGACAACAAAAAATTGGCATTGAAGTAATAAAACCAATCCACTAATTGTGATCTTGAATGTACGTTATTATGTATTTATGAGAAACAAGTAATGATATTACCCTTGGTTTCGGATTTCCCGATACTCTAGCGGAAAATATCGCTTCCGAACCTTCCGAAATTTTTGAATTTCTGGGTTTCTGTGTAATTTGAGGTGGAGAAACCTGTCCAAGTTGTCGATCGGCTGAAGTTGTAATTTGTGAATCCGACTCACCCGCGTATCGACGGGTAATTGACTCGCGGAATTCTGTCTCTCTCAAAATTCTATACTCAAAAGTATCAACCTGAAACACAATTTTCATTAGCTTGTGTTTTTATTCTGTTATTTTTGTTTTTGTTTTTTTGATACAATTCATACTTTAAAGTCTTCAGTGCTGCTACCATTTGAGTATTGGTTGTCAATAATCTTTTGGTAACTGTGAAATTCTTTTTTAAAGCTTCCTTGTTGCGGTGGTGGTCCAAAACCTTCTGGTTTAATGTACACTGAACAAATTGCTTCTCCTATAACAGTTATGTACCAGTTTATCTGACCAAGAGTAAGATCAAAAGAATTCACTAAGTACGCTAACCTTCGCATGGCTCGAATAGTAATATTCTTGCGAAAATTATGCGTACCAGTACTTTAAATTATCGTAAGTATTTTAAATTATTTATGCACAAGTGAATCTCGTAAATTATCATCGTTTATCTGAGTAAAATATTTTGACATCAATAAAATGAACAATAAATATTATTTACCATATTGATTTTTCGCGTGACAAGTATACTCTCCCTCATCTCCCGGTCCGATTTGATTTATCTGTAGTCGTACGTTTCCACTTTTTTCGTCATATGACATGCGAACTTTTTGCGTTTCGATCAAGGACGAGCCTTTGTGAGTCCAAGACACTACAGGTTTTGGATTACCTTTTAAGCGACCATCGAAGATTGCATTTCCACCCTGTGCAAACCTGGCATTCTTAAAAATCTGCTCAAACACCGGTGGTGATGGGTCACCTGGTCTACCCGAAAATCTACAGATACAAAATTTATTTTTATTTTTAACATTTCTAAGTAAAATGGACACATTACTAAACAAATAAAAATTTTACCCAGGCAATGTAGGTGAGGTTTGCACGATCATCTCGCCTTGAACTGAAAAAAAAATAAGTGAAAATATTATTCTAAAGGTTATAAAAAAAATCTACACGTTATCTTCGTTATCTTGGTCTGAATAACTTAAAAATTTTAATTTAATAATTCCTAATACACATGAATAATATAATCAAAAAACCCTTTACTAATCATAGCATGGATAAGTATGAAAGGTTACATGAAAATAAAAAATCTTATAAAATTTAAGAAGCTCACAAGACCTCGCAGAATTGTGTCGATAATTCGATTTCCGTAAATGTTAAATGAAGTAAGAAATGTCCACAAATATTTGTACATTTAAATATTTATTGACCTTCACAATTGATCAAGTCAACATAAGAGTGAGTGTATGAATGTATTTGTTATTGAAACTCTTTTTTTAGAATTTTAAATGCGCACCACCTGATTGAAACAATCGACATTCCAATACCTTAAAATTACCCGCTCTAAACAAATAATGTGATCAGACTAAATGTGTTAAACCTCGTATAACGAGGCTTTATCAAGAGATCTATCATTAATTTTTCAATGAAAATTTACCTATTAATCGACCTCTAATGAAAATAAAATTATAAACTTTACTCTAATTCTCAATTCTAAATTTTTAAGTATCGAGAAGTCAGTTATTTTTTAAACTAACAGAGCAAAACAACTTTTACAAAATTAATCTCTAAACCGTTTCCCATGTAACAATGTATTTATATTTTAACAAAAAAGTAAAAATTTTTTAAAATTTTAACTAGTCTAAAATAGTCAAAGTCTAGTCATCTTAACACAGAAACAGTCATACAGATTAAAAGCATTTTTCGTCATAATTTATCATTGTGTCAAATAAAATTTTTTTTTTCGTTTAATAGTGTCAAGTTCTTGGAATTTTTCAATTAAAGTTACAAGATCTCATCAAAAAACTTAAATAAATAATGCTGGAAAAAAACAAATTTAAAAAAATTCATAAAAATTTCTTACTACAGATAGAATTGATAAAAAAAAAGGTTATGCTCTGGATAAAAGTGCTTGAAGACATCAAACATTTTTTTGTAGAGCCTATTTCAAAATTTTTTTAATAATTAAAAAGTGAAGCATTATGAGTATCTAAATTAACAAAACTTTTTGAAAAATGGTAACATATTGAGGCAGAAAAGACTTTGAGATCACTCAGCTCGAGCTTTAGAGAAATAAAGGATCACAATTTTTATAAAAGGAGGCGTGCAACAATCTTTTAGGGACTATTTTCTGGTTCAGGATACTTATGTCATCTAATACCTCAGTAGTTCATAACTTATTAATTTTTTCATCTTACTTTTCCTAAATATAATCATGTTGTTATGCACGAGAAATTTTTCTTCAATGAGTCATCGCAGGCAAAATTGAAAAAAAAAAAAAAAGTTGGGTGAGGAAGGGATTAAAAAAGCTTTCGTTCTGCCGATGTGTTGTAGTGTTAGCGAACGCTGTCTAACGCTGCTGAATCGTATCTATTTTTGTGCGAGATGGGATCACGTTACCGGGACCTATTTTACATGGTAGCCGCGTCGCCCACAGTTACTTATTCTTCTTCTCTCTTGTTCTTTTCTCGAAACTCCATAGTCATCCAGCTCTCAGATCTTTCTTTATCCTCTTGCCTTTTTTCTATTTTTCTCCACCTTCTCCTGCTTTAAAATTTTTTTTTTATAACCATCACTCTTTATTTAGGCTCAACGTTTTCGTGATGTTATCTCACTCGATTACTTTTCCTCTATACCTCCAACATTTTTCTCTCTCTTTTTTTTTGCGTTACGTAATTATTATCTATGTTCCTAATATTACTCTTAGTTTTATTAAAATTGTTTAAAATATTAATTTTTATTTTTTGTATTTAATTGTACATAATTTTTCTGGTTACAATAATATAAAAAATAAATAATCAGGTATTTTTTAATGATAGTGATTCCAATTGATTTAGTATCAATTTAATACATTGCTTTTCTGAATTTGTTCAAAACTTGTGTTAAAGTAGAGCTTATTATAACTACAAAACAATTAGATATTTTTCAAAATTCTTACAAGTAATTTATGCAAAAACTGAACATTTTTCTTATTTTCAACTATTACTTAGTAATATACAATAAGTTAGTAGTATACAATATTTCATAGTTCCATNAGAGGAACAAAGTTTATTATTATATTAAAAAAAAGAAAAAACAACTGCCCACAAGTATTCGCGTAACCTAACGCTGGCACTGTTTGCATTTTTAAAAGCTTATTTTCAGTCAACGATATAAAATTGTTTTGCGGGTAAGGTAACAAAAAAAAAAAAAAAAAAAAACAACCCTCCAATCGTCATTCGTCCAGTCCCTAAAAACTGACCTCTCTGCTGCGTAATCTGCTGCCTGGTAATCTGCGTTTCGGTACGCTCCTGCGTGTACTCCTGTTTTTGCGTATCCCATGACTGTTGGCGCTTCATAGTGCTGCCTGTGTCCCAAGCGAGCCAGCTTGGAGCGTGTTACGAGTGTGACGAAAATCGGATGAAAAAAAACAAAAATAAAAAAAATAAAACTATAATTTAACACTAAAGGTTTCTAAAATATTTTATCATTTGATTATTAAATAAATTACTTCTTGATTCTAGAGCGATAAAGTTGTAAAATGTTATTTCTGATGCAAAATCAGCAGTACTTCATGCCCAGAGTGTCAAAACTAATGATGAGATTAGCTGTTCTAGATGTTCCAGTATTTTAAATGTTCTCTATAGACTCGCTGGACTTTGCCGCAATTTTTGGCTAGTATCGATCGCGCAACGCAACAATATTTTTCCTAAGCTTGCGTATAAGATCGAAATTGGCAAATTTTCCTTCAACCACCTACTCTCTCACCTGTCATTTATTCAAACGAAAGACATAAGTTAAATTTATTTTATTAAATGCATAAATTTTCTATTCTCTTTTTATGATAAGGGGCTTCGTCCACCCTTCATGGATTTATACAATTTCTAATGGTATCGAAAAATAGTTCTAATAATATCGGAACCATTTTTCGATGATCGTAGTACTTATCCCAAAAGCCTAAAGTCTTATCAATTTTGATGAATGTAAAAACATTTATAATGCCTTCGAGACCCATTATATTAAAATTTGTATATTTAAAAAAAGTTTTTACACTAGATAAAACTGAAGTATCAAGTACACTTAAACCTTGTTTATAACTATTATAGTCATAGATAGTTAAGATGTTACAACTTTCTAACTTTCAATTGCAATATTGAATGATAAATATTTATCGTGTTTGTAGTAAAAAACTTATACCGGCAATAGTAGTAAACAAGATGGGTTAGCGTGGCATTTTCATTCGCTTTCTGGTGCTTTGGAGTACATCCAACTCTGTAATGGTGTCGCAAAAAGAATCGGCCTGTTTAATCACGCAACACTTGGAAATTCGCTTGTTTTCATTTTCATTTTTCGTTGGGTTCTCGAAAAGAAATAAACGTTTTTCAACGTATTTTTCAACGTGTAAGATTTACGATCTCTTGGGTAACAAAAAAAAAACTGTGTTTTATCAAACCTTGCATTGAAATTTAGTTAACATAGAACTCAAAAGCGTCTATTTTCACCGTAATATCCTTAAAAACTGTAATTTAAATAATTTTTAAAAATAAACTATGACATTTGAATATTATTTTTAATGAAAGCCAAATTTTCTCATATTTATTGAGCATGAGATAAAAATATTTTCGAACTAAACGTAAGAAATGGGTCGAGAGAAAGTATTTTAGGTCGATGATTAATGGTCTTGTGAATAAAACATAGTCAACATCTACGTTATTCACAATTAAAAATAAAATCTTAAAGTTTCGACTTGTGAAAAATCGTGTAATTTTTTTTTTTTTTCCTATCCTAAATAAAAAAACAGCCCTCAAAATAGATAGCATACTATTGTCGGAAAACAATTTAATCCTAAAAACCTAGAAAAATTTCTCTTAGCCCCGAAATTTCTGCAGAAATTCATCAATACAATTATTACGTAATTCTAGCGCCAACACAGCAACTCTCGCTAGAGTTAACGAGAATTCCGTGGGGCAACTTGTTAGGTGCATCAGGTTTGTTACATCTCATTAACGGAGCTGTCAAAACAGCCGACGGCACCGTGGGGTCCCATTAAAAAGATCCTAGACGATTTTCTCCACGAAAACAGGACGGCCATCTGCGCCTCATAATACCTAGGACCAGAGACCGAAATGCGAGTACGTCAACAACGACGACGAAGAGGTAGAGGAGAGGGATGGAACGAAGTGCGAAGAATTTTGGAGCGCGCGCGCGCGCGAGCCGAGGCTTGACTCCCTAAATTTAGACCAGCGGCGTTGAGAGCTCACTCGAAAATAGAATACCGACGTGGAGGAACTCGCTCTCTGGCCACTGGTTACGAGCTGCAGGGAAGAAGAGGCTGCGATTTTTTCCGTCGCCCTCGACGCTGTCGATGATCAAGTCGGTGGATACATTTTTTTTTTTTCTTGAGCTATTGTCATCACTTATTTTGACGCTTATCGCAAGTACGAGGAAATGGGTTTCATTGGGGTGTAACTCAATATTTGTGCCATAAAACAAGTTGATTTTTGGACCAAAAATTTAGGGGGTTATGCCAATTTTCCAAATCATAAATTAGTGACTGGTCTACTTTGTGGGGGACTTCAAAAAGACGGTGAAACAATCAACACCGCCAATTAAGCGGCTTTAGTTGGCAAAACCCTGGAGTCGAAATTTCGGCTCTTGGAAGTTACCTACTCGCGTGACCCAATTATGAAACACAAACGGCTCTATTCAGATTTTCCGTGTCGTATGTCGTGATATTTATAAAGCCAACACACGACTAGCAAACTCTCCATCCGGGGGTAGACGAACCATCAGCATCAAAAGCAAATGACCAATAAAGTCGACAACAATGGCAAAATAATTAATTTTGCATCGCAGCAACGAATGATTTTTCCATCATCCTTGTAATGCGTGCGTGTTTAATTATCAATTAGGAGGGATTATCGGAAAAAATTGTCTTTTCTCGATACACAGCGTATTTTTCCGAGCTTTTCGATTTTCGTGCCTCGATCGAGCACTTCCGATCGCGCTTCTGACGATTCTTCGGTTCAGCTGTCGGGGAATCTAAAATCGCGAGCAGCGTGCAGGCGTCGAAGAAGGAGACGCTCGAGCGCTGCCTAACAGTTCTTCCATACGCTGCGCTGAGCCCGACGTCTGACGGACATGCATACGCACTCAAGAGCTACGGCTCTTTTTACCCGTGCGAGCTTGATGTGCCTTTTTTATTTACTCCCTCCGCTTTCTTTCCACCTCGATCGCGCATTTTCAAAATTTCAAATAACTTTTTTTTTTTTTTTTCACCAGAACCAGTATGGGCGGAAGAAAAAAAAAAAGAAAATTTGGACCACCACCTTTGCATCGATTTTTTTGGACGAAAGGTCAGGCACTATTTTTACGAGCGCCTCTTACGCAGCCCCCCACCACTCGGCTTATTATAAATAACTCTGCGGTAGGCGTGTAATTTAGAATTCGTCGCGATATTGAATTACACGCGGTAAGGTGTGTGCGTTCGATCTAATTATACGATTTTTACGGACACGCTACGTTACACTTGCTCGCGATCATTAATCTTTACAGAATAAAATGTACCAAAACACTCTCGAGTGGATTGAAAATAACGCGTTCGGGCAAAAATCACACTTCAGAGACCGAAAACCATTACCGATCCATACCGATCGTCCCAAAAAAAAAAAAAAAAAAAAAACAACCCTCCAATCGTCATTCGTCCAGTCCCTAAAAACTGACCTCTCTGCTGCGTAATCTGCTGCCTGGTAATCTGCGTTTCGGTACGCTCCTGCGTGTACTCCTGTTTTTGCGTATCCCATGACTGTTGGCGCTTCATAGTGCTGCCTGTGTCCCAAGCGAGCCAGCTTGGAGCGTGTTACGAGTGTGACGAAAATCGGATGAAAAAAAACAAAAATAAAAAAAATAAAACAGCCCCTCAGCCGATCCTCTTCCGCGCACAAGCACAACACTATTCTTCTTGACCTTTGCCGCTTCGATGATCCAATCTTCGAAAGGCCCCCTCGGTAACAACTCCTGTCCTCTCTGTGTATCTCGTCGCACTCCTCGGCACAATTGAAACGGCAATTGCAAAATCAACAACAACAACAACAACAGCAACAACAGCAACAACAATAATAATAACAATAACAAGAATTAAAATAAAAATAAAATCTAGTCCTCGATGCGTATGTGTGTGTGTGTGTATAGCGGCGGCCGCTCGCCTCTTCGGCAAAAGATTCAAGTCGTCAGCATCACGCCCGAAAAATCGGCGCGCGCGTGCTTCCCTCGGCCCGAGACTTTGTCTCCTTCTCTCTGTTCGTTCACCAAGACGTCGGTCGAATGCGAATCACAAGGGAGAGCCGACACCGCGAGATATCTCGACGGAGTATTGCCTCACCTCCCCCTTTTTCCCGCCACCTCCCGTTTTTCAGCGGAGGAGGGAAGAAAATCGTCCATCGGCGGGAGCAGCCGAAGGGGAGGGGAAGGCGCTGGGCGCCGCGACGCTCGAAGAAAGGGCGGACAAAAATATACCCGAAGCCGCCGAGCTGATGCGGGCGACAGAGGGAGCTTTTTGGGGCCCGCTATACCTATGTTATACTCTCGTTTTCTCTCGACCGACGCGTGGATACCGATACTTGCGCTTGAATCGCTTGGGTTTTTTTTTTTTTTTTTTTTTTCCTCCTCGAGGCAAGATTATGTCGCCTTGGAGGCTCGTACAGTGGGCTGGGCTTTTTAGATAAGATTCGCGCATAATTTTCCGAGACGAGTGGGCTGCGCTGAAAAAATCATGCATTTGGATTGAGGCTGATGGGAAATTATGGCTGTCGATACCGGGATTGGGTATAAATTTCGCTTGCCGCGGTAGAGGGATTTCCGACCTTAATAGCTTTGACGTTGTCGTCGAAGCTGAAACGATTATTGAAACAGAGCGTGTTGTTTTTTCACAACGCGATCTTTGCGAGTTAAGTTTATTTTGGCGTGGCGATTGAACAGCTTGATTCTTCGAGGGAGTATTGGGCCTCTAAAAATAAGATCTTAATTAGACTGTGAATAATGACTTGTACAGTTTAAAAGTGGAACTCGCACTGGCAATTAATACCGATTTACCTTTGCCCGAAAGGTAATTTAATTTTGTAAGGAACTTTTTTTTTGTATTTCAACGGTACAAAACAAAAAGGTGAATTTAAGTCTCGAAAATTAGGCTTAACAAATATGACAACATGTCACCCACACAAGACTACGATTGAAAGTTACGTTTCTTAGAAATTTGATACTCTCCGTAGTAGTAGTAAATTAATATTTCAAGGTTGATACCTGCGAGTAAAAAGTTTTATTTGATGCCATCGACGAGACTGACACGATTAGAAGAGAACCTAATATATTATATTGTCATCGAGAGATCGGTTTTGATAGAATACGTTTTGTAGAGCAGAGAGCATTATATACTCATGTAAATAATTTTCAGAATCTTACGATATAAAAAATTATATTAAATTATTTCAGAGGCTCAAATACTACACGTTTTTTTAAATTTTGACATATAACGATAGTAATGATTATGCTTATACAGTTGTGTAGCAGTGAATAATGAATTATTTTTGTCAGGATTAAACAAAAATTCAGATAAGTCTTTCGATACGGCGCTATTTTTCAACAATGCAACAGTTATCAAAATGGGGAACAGACTTTACATAAAATTCATTAAATGTTTACATCCATACAAGTCCTAATGATTCTATTTGATTCAGTCATTTTCATTAGTACTAATCCAAAAATATCGAAACGTACAACTTCGCTGTTGTGAATTGTGTATAAAATAAATAAATAAATAAATAAATATATAAAATATATAAAAGGTATTGAACATATAAAATACCTTTTGTTCATGAGA